ATATAGCTCGTGACAGTTAAGGGTATATGAGCAGAACTATCCCACTCATGACTTGGAGTTAGCAGCAGTGGTATTTGTACTGAAGTAATGGATGCACTACTTGTATGGAGTGCAGTTTGAGTTGTTCACAGACCATCAGAGTCTGAAGTATCTTTTCTCTCAGAAGGAGCTCAACTAGAGACAGAGAATGTGGATTGAGTTTATTAAGGATTACGAGTTCGCGATTCAGTATCATCCAGGGAAGGCAAACGTCGTAGCAGATGCTTTAAGCAGGAAGCGTCGACATTGGGTTTCGGCTTTGAGATTCTCATTGTATCGAGATCTTCTTACTCTTATCCAGTTTGATTTTAGACCCGAGATTTGTGGAACCAGTGCATTTTTGGGAGCTGTGTCAGTGCAGCCATATTGGAGTATCAGAGTTGTCAGAGCTCAGCTGGAAGACTCTTGGATTCAAATCCGAAAGGAAGAGATTACCAAAGATCCTAAGGCTTATTGGACCATTGGAGCAAATAGAGGTATACGGATGAAGGGTAGGCTGGTTATGCCATCCAGTGCCGAGCTGAAAAGGGAGTTATTTGATGAAGCACATCGTACTCGGTACACAGTACATCCAGGGACCACTAAGATGTACAAGGACCTGAAGAGACACTTCTGGTGGAGTGGTATGCGTAGAGAGATTGCAGAGTATGTGACTAAGTGTTTTACCTGTCAACAGGTGAAGCTAAAATATCAGAGGCCGGCAGGAACACTTCAGCCTTTACCCATCCCAGAGTGGAAGTGGGCGAATATTTATATAGACTTCATTGTAGGGTTGCCGAAGTCGAGGAAGGAGAATGATTCTGTTAGGTGATAGTAGACCGGTTGACGAAGTTAGCATATTTTATTCCAGTGAAGACTACATACACAGCTGAGACGTATGCAAGGATATTTGTTCAGGAGATAGTTCGACTTCATGGAGTTCCGGACACGATTGTATCAGATCAAGATTCAGTGTTCACTTCGCACTTCTGGAGGAGTTACCACGATTCTTTTGGCAGCAGACTATCATATAGCAGTGTATTCTACCCACAGACAGATGGTCAGACGGAGAGAGTAAATCAGGTGTTAGAAGACATGTTGCGGGCTTGTGTCATTGACTTTCAGGGTAGCTGGGAGGATCATATTCCACTGATATAGTTCGTTTATAATAATAGTTATCATGCGACAATCGATATGGCCCCGTACGAAGCAATATACGGGAGATCTTGTAGATCACCGATATATTAGGCATAACCGGAGGATATCTTGATGCTTGGGTCAGAGCTTGTGAGGCAGACCACTGAAAAGGTGGCATTGATCAGAGAGCGGATTCTAGCCGCTCAGAGTCGGCAAAAGAGCTATGCAGATAAGAGACGAAGACCTTTGAAATTTTAGGTTGGAGATTCAGTTATACTGAAGCTATCGTCGATGAAAAGCGTTCAATGATTCGGAAGGCGGGGAAAGCTTGCACCGAGGTATATTGGACATTTTCAGATTTTGGAGTGCATTAGAGCCGTGTCATACAGACTAGATCTTCCAGCATCGATGTCTAGTATACACAATGTATTTCATGTTTCTATGCTCAATAAGACTTATGATGAGGAGCAACAACGAGTATTGGTTGCACCAGAGATTGAGATTCAGGATGATTTGACTACTATTGAGATTCCAGTTGGTATACTTGCCAGAGAGGACAAGAGACCTAGAAACAAGATAATTCATTTGGTAAAAGTTCAATGGAACCGAAGAGGCATTGTGGAGATTTCTTGGGAGCATAAAGAGGACATGCGTGTGACTCACACATGTTTGAATAGGTAAATTAAATTTTTGTATGACTTGTATATGACTTATGGATTACATGTATGGTGATGTTTATACTTAACACTAAAATGAGGGTATTAACACATAACTCCTAAATACTCGGAACACATGGTATATATATGAGGGGTTTCTTGTTTGGATTTTTTGCTCGATGTAGTTGTTCCATTTAGTTAGGGGTTAGGAGGGGGTATTTACATTTTAGATGGTTAAGTGTAGACATCGAGGATGATTCTCGGGAGCGCGAAGATGTTATGTAGCGCAACTACCTGCACCTATTGAGGAAGTGGATTAATTTATGTGTGTGATTATTTGTATGGTTATATTTAGATTTAACGCTAGAATGAGGATATTTTCACTTAATTTTTAATCTTTTAGAACATATGATATATATATGGGGGGTTCCTTGTTTGGCTTTTTCGCCCGACGTACTAGTTCTATTTGATTAAGGGTTGAGTGGGAATATAGTCATTCTGGATTGTTAAGTATAAATATCCCTATATGCTTATCAAGAGTTTAATATTGTGAGAGGTATATGTGCGGGTTGGATTTCACCCTCGACATGCTTTCTAATACTATCTTTTAATTAAGTGTGATTTCTGAATTTCGAGGACGAAATTCTTTTAAGGGGGGAAGAATGTAAAACCCCAAAAATTTGAATATTTTATGATAAATAATGATAAATATGTTATATGTTTATAAATAACATATTATGATGTTTGAGTATGCTAGGAATTTATTTGAGATCAATTCAATGTATATATGTATATATATAAGAGCAAATGCATAAATCATGCTCGATGTATAAATCTGGAAATTTATGACTAGTGGAGAGATTTAATATTTTACACATTGATACGTTATGAATATGGAAAAACTTAAAAGACCAAAGTTGTATATATCTTCAGCATCTTTTCAACAAATCTTTAATCACCTCATTCCGAGGTTGGACATGAAAGTTACAGCCAAAATACCGAAGAGTATGTTTCTAGTCAGACTGGGTTTTCCAGTTTCGGGTTTCGGGTTTTGGGCTGTAGTTTTTTGGGTTTGCTGTTATATATACACATGTTTAAACATGAAAACACATTTTTTTCTTCCTGTGTTCCAAACCCTAGCAGCCTATTTTCCCCTCTATCAAACCCTAGTTCTTTTCTTTGGCGATTTTGAGGGATTTCAGAGGATTTTTTAGCGGGTTTTGTGCAGTGCAGCGAAGGGGATTGATTCTCTTTCATGTGGCAGGAGTTTTTCAGCATCTGAAGTGAGTAACATCTCATCCAACTCTGTACCCTTTTATTTTGCATGTTTTATTAAGTTTTATTCGGATTTTTCAAGCCTAAAATGTATTTTTAGTATACAAAAGATAGATCTTTATAACTTATGAAGTGAGAATACATTATCATAATTTTCAAATTGATTACAATAGTAACCTTGACAAATTTTAGATCTAAAATTTATTAATCTTGAATTAAATCATAAGTTTTTGATTTTAAAACGTTTAAACATGTGTATATAAATGTTTAGGGTTTCAACGATATATTTACATGCTAATATTTTATTTCATGTTGTTTCATATATGTTGATATCAGTAATATTATGCTTGGAAAATAATGATATCACTTCTAGATTTGTTTTGAAGCAGACAGAAACCTGTGAATGGTTTCTGCCTGTTTCGGTTGATCACCGGCACAGTTTGTACATGTTTACTTTTGTTGTGTGCTTTAATGTGAACAAAGAGTCGCCTCGAATATTTAGCGTTAGAAATTATTGTTTATTATGTATCTTCATATGTGAGATGGCTGGCGGACATGAGTTTAGATTTGCACACCGAGACACGTGTGAAATTAGTGTATATGCATCATTTTCATATATCTCATCGATTTTCTACACATTTCATTCAGTCCATGTGTTGGGCAATTATTATGTGCAATCCATGTGTTGGACATTCATCATATTCAGTCCATGTATTGGACATTCATTATATTCAGTCTATGTGTTGGACCTTCATCATTCAGTTCATGTGTTGGACAAATTTATATATGCAGTCCATGTATTGGGCATCCACTACACATAGTCTTAATCCATGTGTTGGACACCTGTTTAAACCTTGAGTATGGCACTTGCACTTACATAGGCTAGACATGACACTTATGTGGGTTTTGACATGACATGGTATTTGAGTTCTGAGATGGGTTGGTCTTCTTTATATTATTATTCCTGTATTAGATCTTGGGTTTGGTATTTAGGGATTTACAATTTAAGCGACGTACCTATGCTCGTGTTGTAATTTCCTAAATACTAAAATCCTCTTATTGTTAGGATCAATGATTTTATGTATATATGTATTAACTGTATTTTTTATATGCAATGAGCCCTCTCCCTTGGGGTTGGTTGTGATGTTGCTCGCTAGCGCTTTGACGCTCGTTGTCCCCTCCCATATCAGGTAACGAGCCAGGTGCACAGAGAGTCATAGGTTGATGGCGATAGTTATTAGCGTCCATCTTTTATTTGTAGTTTTATTTTATTTATGGAGCTCCACTATAGACATTTTGTTTATCCATCTTTTATTTGTAGTTTTATTTTATTTATGGAGCTCCACTATAGACATTTTGTTTAGACATTTGAAAGTTATGTTCTAGAAGTTGTAAAGGCTATGTGCCTTATTTCCTTTTATCAGATATTCTGTATTTGAGACTTGTTGAGATCTCCAGACTAGTTATTTCAGAGATTCACTTTATATTTTTGTATGTTGGATGATAAAATATCATTTTTATCTCTATTATTTCATCATATATCTCTTGTATTATCTTTTACTTGTTTTTGTACCTACACCTGTTATTGACTCTACTAGAGAGATAGTAATTGTGATGGTAAAACATATTATTACACGGTATGGTGCATGGCAGGTTTGACATTCCTGGTTTTACCTCGGACTGCAGCCTTATGTGAACCCAGGGGCATCACACATAGTAGATGGTTGTGAAAAAATAATACCATAATCTAATAAAGTTTGTTTCATCCATAATATTTGTGCACAAGCAAGACTAGCAGTAATATATTCAGCTTCGGTTGTTGATAATGATATATAATTTTGCTTTTTAGTAAACCGTGATACTAGGGAATGTCCTAGAAAATTACATGTTCCACTAGTGCTTTTTCTATCAGGTTTAAAATCCAGCAAAATCAGCATCACTATATGATATTAAGTTATAATTGATAGTTCTTGGATAAAACAAACCATATTTGATTGTGCCTTTAATATATCGTAGAATCCTTTTAATAGCTTCTAAATGTGATTCTTTAGGGTCAGATTGATATCTAGCACATAAACAAATATTGAACATGATATCTGGTCTACTTGCAGTAATATATAAAAGTAAAACAAACATACCACGATAAAGTTTCTGATCCACACTCTTACACATTTCTTCCTTGTCAAGTGAAATAGTAGTACACATTGGAGTTGTCTTGCTACTAGTGTTGTCCATGCTAAAGCGTTTGAGTAGTTCCTTTGCATACTTGCCTTGGTTAATGAAGATTCCATCCTTCAATTGTTTGATTTGCAAGCCTATGAAGTAGTTGAGTTCACCCATGTGACTCATCTCAAACTCACTCTACATAGTCTTAACAAACTCTTGACAAAGATCATTGTTAGTAGAACCAAATATAATGTCATCAACATATATTTGTATAATTAAAATATCTTTTTCAATCTTTTTAATAAAAAGAGTAGTATTTAAACGTTTCCAATTAAAAAGGTAGAATCCAAAAGAAATTTTTTAATCTATCATACCAAGCACAATGTGCTTGTTTAAGACTATATAAAACTTTCTTAAGTTTGAAAACATGGTTAGGATATTTTTCATGTTCAAAACCTGGTGGTTGTTTAACATAAACATCTTCTTTAATAAAACCATTCAAAAATACACTTTTAACATCCATTTGAAATAGTTTAAAACCCATAAAACATGCAAAAGATAATAAGATTCTAATAGCTTCAAGTCTAGCAACAGGAGCACAAGTTTCATCAAAATCTATACCTTCTTCTTGATTATATCGTTGGGAACCTAATCTAGCTTTATTCCTAATAACTTGTCCTGATTCATCAAGCTTGTTTTTTAACACCCATATGGTGCCAATTATAGTATGATCAGAAGGTTATGGAACTATCCCAAACATAATTTCTAATAAATTGATTCAACTCTTCTTGCATAGCAATTATCCAAAATTCATTATCACATGCTTCTTTAACATTTTTAGGTTCAAAATTAGATATAAAAGTAGTATGAGTAATGTAATTGAGTTTGGATCGAGTTTGAATACCTTGGGAGATATCACCAATTACCAAATCATTTGGATGATTTCTTACCTAAACGTAAGCCTTTGGTAAATCTAGAGTATCTTCCTTAGGATCTAATATATTAGTATTCTCAAGAGAAGTAATAATATTTTCTACATTTGGTAAATCATTATCATCTTGTATTGCATTAATCTTAGGTAATGATTCATCAAATGAGACATGCATAGATTCTTCAATAATTAAAGATGATTTGTTAAAAGTTCCATATGCTTTTCTCCTAGTTGAATAGCCATTGAATATATATACCTTCATTAGATCTAGCATCAAATTTATCTAGATTATCTTTTGTGTTTAATATAAATTATTTGCAACCAAAAACTTTAAAATATGATACTTTAAGTATTTTATCATAAAATAGTTCAAAACATGTTTTACTCAATTTTGGTCTAATTAGTATTCTATTTAAAATATAACATGCAATTACAACAAATTCAGCCCAAAAATATTTTGGCAAGTTACTTTCAACAAGCATGGTTCTCGCACAATCTTGCAAAGTCTTATTCTTTCTTTCAACCACTCCATTTTGTGGAGAAGCTCTAGGAAATACAAAATTATGAGTTATACCATTATTGTTGCAGAAATCTAAAAAAGATTCATTCTCAAATCCTCCCCCATGATCACTTCTAATAGTGATAATGATTAGTGATTCTTGATTTTAAATTCTTTTGCAAAAACTTGCAAATTCTTTAAAAGCATCATTTTTAATTTTTAAAAATAAAAACCATGTAAATCTCGAAAAATCATCTACCAAAACGAAAACATATCTACTTTTATTCAAAGATGCATCTCTAGTAGGACCAAATAAATCCATATGAATTAATTCAAGAGGTATACTAGCTGAAATCATTTATTTTGATTTAAAAGATGTTTTAACTTGTTTTCCTAATTGACTTGCATCACAAAGCTTATCTTTCTTTATGATAATTTAGGTAAACCTTTTACTAAATTATGTTTAGATTGTTTTGAAATATTTTTCATATCTACATGTCAAGGTCTTTTATGCCAAAGCCAAGAGTCATTATTAGAAGCAATTAAGCATAAATTATTTGAAATATCTATTGTTTTTAAAGATAATTCATAAATATTATATTTACGAAAACCTTGAAAAATAATATCTTTCATATTAGCATCAAATATTAAGCATGCATCCTTTTCAAATACTATTTTATAACCTTTATCACATAATTGACTAATACTTAATAAATTGTTCTTCTAACCACTTACTAAAAATACATTTTCTATAAGAGGTTTATTAGGATTACTAACCATACCAATTCCGATGACTTTGCCCTTGTTATTGTCACCAAAGGTAACTGTTCCTCTATAAATATCTTGTTTGGAAGATAGCATTGTCAGACCCTAGAGGGGGGTGATTAGGGTCTTACGCTAATCTAATCCGATTAAATGCCAATTAAAACTAATTAATAAGTTATCCTAGCAAGTATGAAATACTACAAGAATATAAGCTAGGATAAGCAATATGAACAATGAGATATATCCTATATGATAAAGATATATGCGAGGATATATAAACAATACAAGGGTAAATAATCTAAACAAGATAGTGGATGAGATAAATGAGTAATGCACAATTGGCGATATAAGATGAATGCAAAAATAAATACGCCAAAGCACACTCAAACACAATCAAATGATCACGGAGTTCGGACCTTCCGTCCTACGTCTCCGCTCCCCACTCCCGGGGAGAATTCCACTATCACAACCGGGTTTTCTACGTTCACCCGAACAACGTTTACACCTCACAGTATCGGTTTTCAACGCTCACCGATCAACGTCACTCCTCACAATCGGTTTTCTAGTTCACCGAAAACTTTCACACCACACTCGGTTTCTAGCTCACCGAAAACCTAACAATCTCACAATGTAACAAATATAAATTGTTCTCTAATATGGATGAGAACACAATAAAAGCTCACACTCAATGCTACAACTCTCACAACCCTAATATATTATGAATGCAAATACAATAAGCTCAAAGTGGGTGTGTGTAACAATGAGTGAAATCAAATCTAAACTCAATATAAAACTAGCTTTAATAGAATTGATAATTAACAAATAACAAATGAAAGCTAGAGTAGAGTTTAGAAAACTTCTCAATGGAAGACAAGATGGAGAGATGGAGATTGGAGCCCAAACAAGAAGATGATCTCCTCCACTTGTGAAAACTTCTTCACAAACAAAAACAAACCCTTAAACACACTTAAACCCTTGTTTAAAACTTGTTTAAAAACTTCTTAGATAGTTTGAAAAGAGATCAGCAATGGGTATTTATACCCTCTCAAAACTCAGCCAAAAACCCCAAGCAAAAAGACAAAACAGCCCCACAAACAAAAACAAACCCTTAAACACACTTAAACCCTTGTTTAAAACTTGTTTAAAAACTTCTTAGATAGTTTGAAAAGAGATCAGCAATGGGTATTTATACCCTCTCAAAACTCAGCCAAAAATCCCAAGTCAAAAGACCAAAAAACCATCTTCAACGGCTCTAAAAAGAGCCGTTGGGACTCCAGCGGTCGACCAATGAAAATCGCAGTCGACCGCGAACAAGGTCAGAAGCTCAGGAGACATCCAGAGAGCCTTC